GATCACAGGGCAGATGTGATTATTAAGCTAGGCCAGGCCTTTTCCATACCACTTCTATTAGCCCAAATTGATTTGGCCTTAATTTCTTCATAGAAAGTCTCATAATCATTGTAAAGGCAAAATTTACGAATACACAAGGAAAATTTTGTCATTTTTACTCCTAGTTCAAGACCAAATATTAACATTTTAATAAATAGTCCATCGTTGACAGGCAAAACCTTTTTCTTTACCATTTTATTTCTGTCCTTCAACATGCCCATAAAAGGTAATCCTCCTTCGCATCCACTTTAGTCCATTACGTCTTTACTTCGTGCTGATGAGCTGAGTATTTTGGGATATTTCACTTTTAAGTTGTCTAACTCTTTACAATTATATCCTTCGACCACAGCTGCATCAGTAATAAACTTTAATGACAACTTGTAATGATAGTTTAACCTTTTTCAGGTGACAGAGGACGACTTACGCTCTCTCATTTTCTGCGACTTTTCTGAACCGAAAGGCGCTAAAAACTACTTGGAAGTCCGGAATATCGAGCAGTTACGCAAGACAGTTGAAGGCTTCTTGGAAGAATACAACCAATTGAGTAAGAAACCAATGAACTTAGTCCTCTTCCGCTTTGCCATAGAGCACGTCAGCCGAATATCGCGTGTCCTCAAACAGCCGCGTTCGCATGCGCTCCTAGTCGGTGTTGGCGGATCGGGCCGTCAGTCTCTGACACGTTTAGCATCCTACATGTGCGACTATGACATATTTCAGGTAGTAACATGATAACGTCTTCACCGTCTCATTTGCTCCTATTCCCCAGTTCAAAATTTATCTACATTCATCACTCAAATAACTCAAATATTACTGTATTAATACTTCATCAGCGATATTGTTGCACTTGCATGATTTTACTTTTACTAGAGCTGCATATATCATATTTCGTGTAAAGTGATGAAGAACTGGCGGTTCAATTTTCCTACAATCAAATGAGTAGGTCCCAAGTTTCCATTTAATCTCACCTATCCTTGCTTACTTAAAGGTATTATCATCCAGGCTGGAGTGAATTGCAGCTTCAACCTCGCTAGGTCGAATCAGCGAGGTCGAATCCGCAGTTCATTCCAGTCAAGATAAGACTACTTTTAAGGAAGTAAGGCTAAGTGAAAGTAAGTGGAAACATGAGGCATACTCATTTGATTGTGGAAAAATACAACTACCGGTTCTTCATCACCTCAACTTATACATCTCCTATTCAAGAACTACTGATAGTGTATAAAACCTACTTATAAACTAAGATGTATTTTAATTGAGATGATTTTGCTTTTTTTCTCCGTGTAGCATATATAGCTATATAGGGTGATCGTACATGAG